TTAAAACTAAACCAAACCAAATATGTCGGGTTTTTTTTTCCAACACCAAATCAAATCAAACCAAACCATAGTCGGATTTTTTTTTTCGATTTGACTCGGATTATCGGGTTGGTGCGATTTGTCGGTTTCATTTGTATACCCAACTGGCTAGTTCTAATATTTAATTTTGTTTTTAAAATTTGACTTTGTGCCTTCACTTATTTGAAAGTTCTAATTTTGACTCATGTAGCGTACAATTAAGTACATTTAACTCTCAATCAATATTAAGTATATGAAATTGAATCGTTTCCATAATTATTTTCTCATTCACAATCACAATGTTTTGAATTGTGGTATAAAAGCCACACTATAAATGAAGAAGAACATGACACTCTTCTTTTATAATTTTGAGTTATAAAAAGAATAATAAAAATCATACTGCACTACTTTTTGCTGCTTTCCAGTTCTTCGATTTTTTCAATAACAGGCTCAACCATCGTCTTCAAGTCTTTCAAGTCTTGCTCCACATCTTCAACCTGTCAACCCATTGTTATCAGACCTATGATGCTACTAACCAGAAAATAATAAAATGGGTATAAATTAAAGAAGAATTAACCTAAATAGTTGTCCACCCTGTTTAAATTAAAAGTAACTGAAAGATGTATAGTATGTGTATAACCACCATTACAATATATGAATATATACTGGCTAATTAGAAAATGAAACTGGCTGAGTATTTTTGCAAAGATCACATTTGATTTACAACATGATGTACACCAAAAGTATTTAGTATGTAGGCGATAATATGATATCGTAAGTAAGCTACTGCGAAGTACTTCCCAGCTTTATGATCAAACATGTAATTCTCCTTTATCCTAATATAAATTTTGCGTTTGGCTTTGATGGTTAGATAGAATGATAGTGTTTGATTTGAGCCATAAGTATAATACAAGAATAATATATAGGAAAATATTAAAATATGGTAGAAATGCTACGCAAATCGTTAGCTAGAAAACTCCAAACCCTTCCCCATCCCAAAAAGAACAATTAATAAAAATTGAAAAAGACAAAATATACAATTGATTTTCATGGTAAATAATGGAACTTTAAGCATAAAAGTGGCTAGTGGATTTGGTTTTGAATTACCTTTCAGAAAATTAGTTTTCGGAATTTTCTTTTTACAGATGTTATTTGCTTGAAAGTTTAAAGAAGATATTTCTTAATTTTCATAAAAACCAACATTAGATTTGTTGTTGTTTCTCATAAAACATTTTGGTATAATTTCAAAGGTCAAAATTATTTTTCAATTCAAGCATAGTTATTTTTTCTTATTTTCTTTTTTTGAGAAACTCTTGAAAACCAAATGGATAGTCAAAATAAGACAAAAGTAGTATTGCATTACAGGAACAGCTCATTTTGAACTCAAATACAAGGCAAATTAAAGGATGAAAAGAATAACGTAACACTGACCTTGTGAATTAAATTGGAAGTAAACTGAGCATCTTTAGCAGCCGCAGCTGATGCATTTTCCACTGCTACAGCTGCTTCTTTGAGTAGACTATTTTCCGGCAGCTTCTCGGCAACCCCTGCCATTACATTTTCCGTTTTACTCGCCACCGCTGCTACTACCTCCGCAACTTCTTCCACCTCTTTTGCCACCTTCTCTACCTCTCCTGAACATCCCGTGCTTTAACTTTTGTTTTTAAGAGATACTAACAATTTTAAAAGCAAAACCTTTTTTTTAATTACAGAAAGTCAACTATAGTTATAAGTACTTGTTTTTTACACATATATAGTGATAGCGTCTGAAAGTTTGTGTTATACTGAACCCGCGAACCGGCCGGACTGTTAATATGCATTTAATATACAAAATTCGTACCTTCTATTCTTCGAAAGTTGTCCCATTTATCCTTCCAAAAGGGGAGGAATATTGATATTATGGACCCCAAAATCCATTTCGTCCTGCATATATAATTAATGAGATGGTTTCATGATTCTTTCCAAAAATGCCACACACCCGGAGTAGAAAACTCCCTTGTTTCCTTTTCCCTCTCCTTTAAATTAAAGTCCCTTTTTGTATGCATGGCAATCAATTAAATGAATATGATCTCAATGACAGTAATTAATTGCACGTACCAAGCAAATAAACTGGGCTTAGAAGGAGCTGGCTCTTCTGGAGGAACCTGGTTTGCTTCATTCTTTACCCTTACAAATTCAATGAAGAACTAAAATTCAATCTTCTTGATACAAGGTAATAAAAGGTGCTAGTAATTTTTTTGGAACAAAAAAATGAGTAGAGGAATTAATTACTGATCCGTCTTGGGTATTCTATACTCTCCAGAACTGATAAATCGCAACCCTGGAGTTATTGAATCACTATAACCGATCCTCGTAGCTGGAACTAAACCATGGAAACCCTGAACCTGTAAGGATGCATCATTAAAGCGAACTCTGTAATATTGGTGAAGCAACGTAACAAGACTTCGAAGTTTGTATTGAGATGAAGAATTTGCAGCCATGATCACCAACAAAATAGGAATACTATTTATTTAGTAAAATGAAAGAGTATATATTATTTGAATGGATTGCTCTAATTTTGAACAATTGAAGGTAACTTTACAACATATTGTAGTAACTTTTGAACGGATTGTGAGAAGATTGCAGTAGCTAATCTTTTTGAGCTGTTCTGTTATTCCAACAACAATACCAATCAGAAAACAAGTTTGGCTAAATATATGAGAACAAAAAGTTTTGGTGCTTTCTTTTTAAGGAAATTAGGCTAGAGGAGGAGTCTATAAATGTCAAACTAGCGCTTAACATGTGATTAAGAAGATCCGAACACGCCAAGGAATGAAAGAATTGAGTTGCTTTGCTTATTTTATGTATTTTATTGTGACTTTAAGCTAAAAGTTTCTAAAAGATTGCCTGACAAGTGACCTCTTCCTTGCAAGCATGAACCATCAATTATGGACTCTCTATTTTTGTCATGTGTCCTCCTTTCACAAATCAATGAGATTGTGATGACGTTAGACGTTCCCCTCACAAAGCTTCAAACGTATTGATCTTATAATATAAAATTAAACAGAAAAAAAAAAAGAAGCAAAATGAGAACATAATATTGAACAACAAGGCCNAGGGCTCACGGGGCACATCCAAATACGAGGCAAAATAGGCTCCCCCCCCCCCTTTTTTTTGGGTTGGTTGGCTAAAAGTCAACTCATATAAACATCGCCAATTCACCCATAGACAGTTAATAATCATTTCATATAGTTAGGTCTGTTTCTTTATTTTATTTTTTCCATATCGTGTTAGTGTAGTAACAGCATCAGCACAAACAAACAAAAAAGCAAAGTCTTCATCAATGCTATCACAGACAAAAGAATTTTAACGTTTTAAGGAATAATTGAGGATATTATTAAAATGTGATGGCACTCGATGTATGGTCAAGGTTCGATAGTGCTTTTTAGGTCCTGCGCCAATTATCGCAAAACAAAAATATATGCTAGAGATAGCTACATGTCTAATACTCAACTTAGCTCATTATTAGTCGATCGGTTTTTGGTAGGATCCGACTAATTCACATTTGCGTATGACTTATTAAAAGGAGAAGCTTCTTATTAGGAGTTTTCTTTCTCAGTGCTCAAACCCCTAAATCTTTTGTTGAAGGTGGAGGGATCCCGTCAGTCCTACAATAACCCTTGGGTGGTATAGTTGATGTTAAGTTGCTTTAAACATTCAAACATTTGTATCCTGTTGATACCTTTGTGAACGATTTGTAAATTATCATATTCCTCTGACCCCTTCAGTCTTCTCGTAAGCCTCCACATTTGGATCAGCCTGAAAGTGTATTAATACAAAATTTCAGGCCCAAAAGAGGGTTTGAATCAAGCTTGTAAAACTATGTTCTCGGTAGAGCTGTTCAGTATTAGTAATTAATACTCCACCTTTTTTATAAGGGCAGCAAAGCCTGTCAACTTTTCTCAGGCAAATTCATTTGGGTGTCTATCAATAAAGTAGGATCACTCTTAAAATATATTGTAACCTTCTATGGCCTTATTCCCATCTTTTGCTCATATTATTATTCCATAGCATTTCAATTTAGATGAAGTAGTAAGACTCGTCGTGGAGTTTAAGATAAAAGAGGGAGACTTTTGAAACTTGTGGTCTTAAAAGCTTAAGGGGTAAAAGCTTTGTGGTGCCATGAAATTTCTGTTATTATAAAATGGTCTCATTAAGGGTAAAATGGATAAAATAAAAAGTTTAAACTTGAATTATTTCTAATTATAGAAATGTGTCATTCTTTTTGGAACGGACTAATAAGTAAAGTTTGTCATCTAAATTGAAACAGAAGAGTAATTAGTAACTTGAGTATAAAATATCTTCCCAATTAAATATTTTTCTGAAAATTAATTGTACAAAAAAAAAAAAAAAACCTTCGATTGAATGTATCATTGTGACACTCAGTCTCGGTACTAATTAAATGGTTAGCCAAAACGCTAGTTATCTTAGAAAATTAAGAAATAAAATTCAGATCAAAGAAGTTAAGGACCTGGTTGTAGAGCAATGATCAGTGTCAGGACAAACAACCCAAACACATTTGTATATGCAGCAAAAAAAGAAAAAAAAAATAGAACTCTGCTTCAAAACGTGTACTCCAAAGTCGAGAACCAACCAAAAAAGACAAAATAAAAAGAAAAGGAAAAAAAGCAGCCAAGTACGTGGAAATGATAGCTTGTGTAAACCGGTCATAATCAGCCGCTTAGCATACTAGCCATTCCTTAAAGTTAAATAAGAAGAAACAAATAAATGAAAAGCATAGAAAAAGAAAGAAAAAAGCATTCATCTGTCATGTTACTATTTCGTTAGATACTATGCTGATAATTAAGATGCATTATATTATCTTTCACGCAAAATTGAGACAAGGCGGCTCCCATCTCTTTGTTAAACAATCAGCCATGGTTTCTTTCCATCATCGAAATCTCATATTTGAAACTCCTGAGTACGTACAGTTAGAAGAGATCAATCGAGTGTTGGTAATTTGTGTTCAAAATCAGAAAATCAACAGAAATATATAGAAAAAACAAAATTAAATTCGAGCCCACTGAATTCACAGTATGTCTTTAAAGAATTTAATCCTCTCACTGTTGCCCAAGGTATACAGATTAATTCCTCCCAGGATAGAACGGAATAACTATTTTGTGATAGCGGCACTTCAAATCACAAAACTTCAGCGAACTCAACAAACGGAGCAAATCACACTTGACATTTATGTTTATTTAGAAAATAATGCAACAATGTAGAAAAGAGGGGAGAAGATTTCAAATTTTTCATTTCTTAAAAATGAGGCCAAGCCTCTAAATTTATAGATAAAGGAAGGGTGATATGGAGAGGTGCAATCCAAAAGGTGCCTCTTCCATTTTCCATTCACACCCTTTAAAGAAAAAAACGCAACAATCCTCCATATGAATGGGGAATGGACATATGTGAAAAAACATGCATGAAAATACTGTGTGATTCGCAAGTAAGGATTAATCGCATCTGGATAAGTAGGTTTCCCTTTGAACTTTCCGTAGTGAACTTATGTCGGATATACTCGGCCAATCGGTAGATTTGATATCTTTGAACCGTCGAACTTTGATGTATACCTAGACAACCATAAGTCGCACAATCAACCCTTACTCATCTTTGGTTCTCATTTTTATATTCGTTTCAGCCATGAACACCGCCTGGTTTCATAAGTGCATAGAGAATTGGCCTTACAGAACTCTCCTTGAAGCGGCTAACACTTCACACTTACATAGGTGATTCCTAAACGTGTTATCCCGTAGATACACTATTTGATATACCCCGTATCAAAATTAGAAACCATTAAAAAAACTTAATGCTTTATCCTTGGTACTGAACATTGTCTCATCACGAGAATGGACTAAAAAAAAAAATTTATTTGACAATGTTGAACCGTCATTAATAACTTTGTTTGAGCTCCTTGAACCTAGATCTTGGGATCTCCAGTCTTCTAGGTAGAGTTACTGCCACAATGACTTGTCCTTGGCCATAGTCTCATTTCCCTCGATGATCTTTCAACTACCTCTCTAGTTAGATCTTTCGTAAGTGGATCCGACACATTATCGCTTGACTTCACGTAGTTAATTATGATAATTCTCCTATAGAATAGTTGCCTAACGGTTTTATACCTTCGTCGTATATGATGAGATTTTTCGTTATACATAATGCTCCTAGCCCTTCCTATTGCTGCTTGACTATCGCAATATATGCATATATGTGCCAACGATTTGGGCCAAAATAAAATACCTTTAAGAAATTTTTAGGAGCCATTCAACTTCTTCACCGGCCTTGTCTAAGGCTATAAACTCAGCCTCCACTGTAGAGCGGTCAATGCATGTTTGTTTGGACGATTTCCAAGACATCGCTCCTCTACCGACTGTTTAGAATCGGTTGAACCAGTGATCTAATTTGCATCACTATACCCCTCTATTATCACGGGATACTTATTGTAGTGCAAAACATGATTTTAATTATATTTCACGGCTCGTTTCATTGTCATAAAAGTTCAATGTGAACTTCCTTATGTCGTAGACTAATACGTATCGGCTTTCAACTGCATATCTGAGTATTGACTACACTTAATGTAGCAATAGTATAGTATAGCAACAGCTGAAATGATTTGCATTAGTTGTGGCCACAACCTTTTAATATAAAACACATTGCGCAATCACTCCGCCATTTTCAAGCAATTGTATGATATTTATCTATACGTCTATATGATATGCATATTATAGCACCTTCATTCATGAAACAAATTCAACTTGCAGTAGATTTTGGTCATGTTCATCGGTTGATTCACCTTATTATAAACCAACGTATTAATACATTCGTTCATGAACGGTCATATCCATACAAAAACGTACAGACGTATCTTTCTATGAAAAGTCGCAATCTTCTAAGTGACATCATTTCATAAAAGAACTAAATAATATAAATTTTCAAGAAAGAAAATAATCTTTCGAGAAAGGCACGTGACCAACTTCCGAATTAGTAGTTTTATCAACTAGTCTTTACTAAGACTTAACACCTGATGAATTCACCGACTACCATATCAATATCCACTAGAGATTTGTGGGGTTCAAAGAATCATATCATCTAATTCTTCTAGATAATATATACATCCCGTCTAGCAATAGCTTTTGTTATGCATAAGCTAAATGCCCCCACATTTCACATGTTTCATGTGCCTTTTCTATAAACATATAATCCATATATAAACAAACAATGACTACATAATTTAGAGTATTCTTAATGTAAATACACTAGTTTGAAACCATTTGACAACATTTTCTAATCAAATTTTGCATGCCATTGTTAGAGTGTTTGTTTTAGTCCGTAAAGTGACTTAAAAAGTCGACACACCTTCTTTCTTTTCCAGGAACCACGAACCTTTCAGGTTGTTCCATATAAATTACTTCCTCCAAATTTAGGGGTGGCATGTGGGTCGGGCCCGGTCCTAAGTGGGCTTCGCGGGCCCGGTCCTAAGCGGTCTCGGGCTTCGCGGGCTTCTTGTTGGAATCGGCCCGGGACCGGAACCACGAACTAACGGTCCCGGATTAAGTGGGCTGGTACCGGGCCTAAGTTGGCTCAACAGATACTTTCTATTTTTTATACAAGTTAGAGAAAAAAATGGTAATAAAAATATCTAAGGCAATTATATTATAGAATTATCACCTACATATATA